AAACGCGAGTGGAAATTTTCGGTACTGATTCCACACTTTTTTTGTAACTTCCAGCAGGAATAGAAAGCTTCCATACCTGCGGTAGTGAGGAAGCAAAAAGTTTTATTGATAAAATATATACTCCATTTTGAAGATATTCTGTTTTGTTTTTTTAACGTTTTACGCTTGGAATGAAAAACTAGTCCTCGTGCAATTTCCTTGGGTTCTGTTTTCTGTCATTTATAAATTAATTATTATTCTCACAGTTGTTACTTCGTTTATTTATTTTTTAAGTCAAGGAAATAATACGGAACTACTTCGAGGAATCTACGAAATGGCCGTGTTTTTGTTGTTTATTCTGTCATTTGAAACATTTTTATTATTATGGCCCATCCTATATTTCATTTAAAAAAATGTTAAAATATAATTCATGGAACCGATATAGACCGGTAGACTCCAACCAGTTATCATTTTGTTTATAGCTAATTCCAAGTTAAACTCTTTTCAGTAGCCCCGGGCCCACCTTACCGAGAAGACCCCACAATATGTGATTATTTTTTTAATTGAATACTAAGTTTATTACAAATGAATAACATACATTATAATATCATTATTTTTATTAAATGGTCTTGGTACACTAATCTTTACATCATTTCAGTTAAGGTATAGATAATTTATTTGTTAGAAATGAAGGGGAAGGATTAACATAAAATATATATAAATACATTCGGCCATAACATATGTTTTAATAATAGTAACCATAATATATGATGTTGAATAAGAATTTATCTTGGTTCCATTGTCTTAGTCACCGTTGCTATCATTTATCATTATAAAAAGATAATTAAAAAAAAATTTATATCGCGAACAACGTGAAAGTGAAGTAATCTATGATACCGTTTTTTCTAATTGATAGGCTATTTTTAAGTACTAAGTACTACTTACTTTAAAAATAATCAAAATTGGGTACAATTTGAGAATACCTAATGTTAAATATACAAGATATTGGAAAAGCCTAAAGCATACAGAGGTACTTACGATATCCCAATGATCGATATCCCTTCCCTATGGCTGAATCTTGATACGGAATAAGGTTAATTACTACACAGCATTATTATCTGGCTAGCTGTTAATGAAGCACAAATATCATTCATTCTTATCATCACAATAAACTGACAACTTAAACACTAATTACCACCCTATTAACACTTTTTATGTACTTACGCATTTAGTTAACAATATATTTTTTTTATGATCAAAGTAATACAGAAGATTTTAAATAAAAGTTTCATAGGTAAAACTTTACTACAAATCAGACGACGCCTAATCACATTACTTTCTCTATATAAAATGTTTCTTTCTTTTATTACTATTCGACATCTCATAAGGCCCAAATTATGTCGCTAAATCGTATGGCTGTTGAATTGGTGGCTTAAGCAGGATTGGATCTGTTTTTTTTTATAATTAGTTTTTATAGATTTTACAAATTCCATCAGAACCTTAAAAATCATCCAAAACCACTTGCACAATCCCTATCTAGTTCCACTCATCCCTACAATCCTCCTCGAAGGTTAAAGTGACAATGGTCCAGAGATCTTTTGGAGTTCTGACAATGGCCAGTTTCTCCACTCAAAACATGAGTGTATGTGGCTAAAGCGCCCTCGCTCAATCTCCACTGGCTTTAGCACCAGTGACGCGGTTGAGAGAGTAGCGAAGAGATCTCTTGGAATCCTGCTTTTCCCTCTATAGTTGGGGGGACATCTCTGGTTTGGGGTTTCCTATTTTATTTTATTTAGGCATTGCTGAGTTGTTATGTTTATAATTTACTTATATTTAGGTTATTCTAATTGTTATTGTACATAGTTGTTTGATTATTATTTTACTTTTGTTAATTTTATGTTTTCTGTATTCTGTTCATATCTCACAATAATTATTGTCCCGGTAACAGATTATTATATTTCTAAAAAAAAAAGGAAAAGAAAATGTTTATAGTGGAATAACTTTTGTTTTGACTCTTGCATTTAGTTTGAGAAGTTTACAACAATGAGTAAAAAAATATTTTGAGTTACGAGTACTGTAATCCTTATTAGGAATTCAGCCACTACTTCAGTTGTTTCTTGATCATCAAGTGAGGTAATTTTTGAATTCCTGAGTACTCAGAACGTCACAATATTTGAGTAAAATATTGGTTACTTCGAGAAGTATTTGCTTATCTCTGTTCTTAAATGCTATTTAATAATAGAAAAAAATTGAAGAGAAAAATGGTTGGGGTGATCAGTCAAAATAAAAATAGCAAAAATAAATAATAATATTTATTTTTACATTTGCCAACATTTGCCGAAGCGTTGACAGACTAAGCTGATTCCCAACCACCCTTCTCTTCAATTATTCACTATTAGTCAACCACATACCCACAATTAGAAAAAAATTATTTCTGAGAAAATTGATACCCAATGCTCCTTCAGAAAACTATTATCTATTTAATCCTTTACTCATAAAGGAACTTTATTTATTCACAATCATTATTGTGCCACCAGTTCCTCCTCATTATGATTTTTTATTAAAACTTTAAATATTTTAAGAAACAATTTTTATGTATTATCAAAACAAGTAGAATATTAATTTTCTATAATATATTTATATTTTAACATTTTATCTCTAAAACAGATCCTTGAATTTATCATATCATGTATGACCAGGAAAATAAAAAAATGTGAATTACATAGTTCATTAAATAAGATTTTTTGAAAAAATATGATACTCTACTAGTTGGCCCATGCGAATAATTCGCATGTTATAATATGTAGGTCAGTGAACAAATGAAATCATAATATACAAATAACTTAGTAGAATGTATTATGAGAGATTATAAAAAAGTGTATATTACAATAGGCAGTTTGCTAAAAATTGTCCGATTTTGATGATTTTTTTTTACTTTTGGTTTTGTAGGGAATATAACAATCTTTCAAATAATAATAGATATAATTCAGAAAAAAATATATACTTTTGAAGTTAGCCGCAAATAAAGTTTCTTTCCTTCATAATTTTTTTCTGAATTTTTTGAGGAGAGTGACTATTTTCCTTTATAAAAAAGTACACCCTCAAAATGTTGCAAATATGCCTTTCAAAAAAATATCTTTCGAAAATACGGCAAATATACCTTTAAAAAAATGTATCCTTTTTGAGTGATTTGCAAACAAATTCCCTTTCCTTCATACCTTTTTTTTCTTAAATTCGGGTAGGAGGTGATTATTGTTCGCATCTGAAGCAGAAAAAGATCTTAAAAATTAGGGCTCAAATCATGGATTTGATGAAGGATTGACGAAGATATAATTTAACTACAAAAAAATACCTTTGAGAAATAATTTATAAAGATATTACAGTACTATATGACCTGTTGTAAACATTAAGATATTAAAGAAGATGAATTTAACAAACATAAAAGTAAAACTTTTTTTTTTAATTACTTTAAAACAATTAATTTATTAACATCCTTCATGTTTGTATCGAAACTTTTAATGCTCTTTGGAACATTTTGGCAATAACCTTTACTTGTTTAGGGAAAATGAATTGAAATTCCCTCTAACCTTAGCATATCGTGGAAAGCGGAGGTGTAGCCGGCCGAACGGTGAATGTAGAGACGAATATAGCTGTGACCCCGCATCAACTAATTACAAGGGCTCAGCGGACGACAGGATGTGTGAGCTGAAGAGACAAGCTCCTAGCCGCAGGTGTCCCCCACGGCTATCACGCTTGTCCTCTTTCATCGTACATACGGATCAACGGAGGCTCGCTATATACTACATCCTACTATGTACGAAGCATATATACTGGCTGTTGAAGATCCATAGGTATTGTCGCTTTCAATCAAGGATCAACAGAAAAATAAATAATAATACGTAAGTTTTGTCATTTAAATATACTAATTTGGAAAAAATAAAATAAAATGTAGTGTGTCAATAATGATTGGCGGATGTATGCCTATAAATAAATTCCATTTTTTTATTTTTTATTTAAGGAATCATAAATTTTAAAAACATCATAAAGCAGAATAAAAATAGTTTTATTTCCATAGGCAATAATTCAAGAAAATTTAAATTATTTAAAAGTAAACATGGACGTAAATATAAAATTTATAATATTACCAATGCTAGAAAAGGATCACACAAACAAATGAAAATAGAAAAAAATATTTTCGGCTTTTCGATATTCTAAATTAATTACCTGCCAATTACTACTGACTAGAAAATATATAATAAAATTGGAACTATAATAAAAGTTTTTAATCGGCGCCAAAATAGAAGAATAATTGCATATAATTTTTAAAATGTCTCCGTCCGGCATTGCGATAACGTGTACCGCACATTTACGGACGATAAGAAAGAATTAATGTTTGAGTATTGCACAGCATATGTATGCCCCACGCATGAAATTTTATTGCTCTCCTCTTATTAAAGACTGTGTAAGTGAAAGTGTAAATAGAAAAACTGTAGTTTATATACAATTACCCTTGCGTTGGTCTGTCCACGTTTTATATTGTTCTTTGATATGAAAGTTCCTCCATATAGCAACTCTACAAAAATATTGTTCCCTTCATAAAAAAGTACACTCTCAAAATTTTAAAATCCTGAAAAAAGAGCACCTTCAAAAAAAAATCTTGCACATTGTCAAACCTTTCTGGATATACCAGGTGATATCATACACTTTACATACTTAAATGCTTTTTCAAACAAATTTTATCTATTATTTCAAAGACATAATAAAACCACATAGTCTTCCAGTATATAGTAATCTCTACTTATGAGTCACAAGTGAAAGTGTTTCTTAAAACTGCTTCGTCCGACATTGTGATAACGCGTAAGGCCTACTTACAGACTATTTCGAAGAACTTATATCTGAGTATTCTTCGTACTGACCCTGTGATATTTAATTAATACTTCCCATAGTCTATGAACTGATTATCAATATCTATTTTGGCAGATTAGGATAAAGATACGAAAATAAATTGATTAGTTACTCACTTGGTAAGAGTCTCAAGAGAAGATGTGTAGATGGTGCCGCCAACGTCTATGTGAACCGGGGCCGTGTAGCGATTCGCAGCCGCCACGAACGGGATCCCTGACATCTTGTGGTTGTAGCCAACCCCAGGTGTCGGCGAGTTGGTAGGCGAAGTGCCAGGGCTCCCGCTGCAAATATATTACAATTAAATATGTCTAATCCTGTAATTGATAGTAAAGAATATCGATGACCTGCAATGATAAATGACTGCCTGCAAAAATGAAATCGTTTGTAATTTTTGAAGGGGGGACTTCTTTAGGCGCGTTTTGCAATTTTTTTTGTGGAGAGTTAATGAAATTGAGCCGTCAGATTCCAATGCGTGACGCTCGGATAAAGTTGGATGGAGTCGATTATTTGAATTGTTTTTGCATATGGATTAAAATATCTCAAAAACTAAAAATCAGACCTTCATATACGTGGACTAATGAATACTAACAACAATATCTGGAACATGAAAAATAACCGATTTATCGAAGTACCACCTAGCGTTACCCCCTACTGGCTCACGGCTTGTTAAGGAAACCCCAGGAGGTCAAACGTTTCAACCATCTTATAAAACCAATCATTATGATCTCTGAGCGTGAGAACAATTAATTTAAAAAAAAAAAGAGAGAGAAACAGATATAGAACATAGTGTTATTATTTAAAATAGTCTTAAAATTTAGTGAACTAAAATATTATAATTGATTCATTGAAAGATTTTAATGCATTATTCAATAAATAAATAGCAGTCCACCAACTGTGCTTCCTGCAGTAACTGGTATCACGCCCTGATAAAGATCTACAAAGTAGGTCGGTCGAAACGTCGACGTAACGAATAAAACACTATTTTAACAATTTAGTATTTATTTATCCTGCACCCCCCCGACCAACTCCTCAAATAAATAAAAACTGATTGAAATTTTCTACAGAGCTCTGAATCGATTTTGCAAATGACAAGATCAATGCCCAAACCTTGTCATACATTTGAAAACCAGGTAGTGTGTCCACACATTATATCGGTTTAGGCACAAAGTCTAAGGGGTACAACAAATGTTAGTCTTCACAAGCATTGGTCCAATAAAGATTTATATTATTATTATTTCAAGTTTTTTTTTTATATCGGGTTTAACAATTATTGTTATATGAATAGTCTTCGAATCATTCCAAGATTAATAAATAGTGAACAGATTTCCATGAAAACCTTGGCAAAATACTTTGAATTTACTTTTAAAAACATTGGTAGAAAGACCAATACGTTGTATTTGGTAATATTTGTCCGATTTAGGTGATTTTTGAAGTGAAAACTTCTTTATGCCCGTTTTGCACTTTTTTATGGTGAGTGAATCGGATTAAGCCATCATATTTCCGTTGTATAACGCTCGGGTAAAGTTGGCTGGAGTCAACTAATTGAAGTGTTTTTGCATATGAATTCAAACATCGCAAAACCTAAAAATCGGACTGACATTTTGTTAGTAAGAGAAGTGTTAGAGCGGCAAAAAGGGAAAATATTGTGTCGAAAACCAAATTATAACGAGTTTCATTGAAAATATGGATTAAAATATCTCAGACACTAAAAATCGGATATGCATAGTGAAAGCGCTGGAAGCGATCAGCATTTCACTTACTTTATAATAAGCTATTTTTTATAATTTAGATTTCATTATTATAAATATATTTATTAATATAATATATATTTATATTAATCTCGACTTGTTGATGTCCTCGCTTTATATCGTGTGGTCTAAAGCACACATCTTAATTTTTGTTTTTTGCATTTTTTTTTCAATTAAAACTAGGTAGGATTCATGATCATGTTTTTTTTTTTTTTTTTTTTTTTTCAAAAAGAGCATAGATAATGCATTCCTGATATTACAAATAAGGGAGAAATATGAACTTGGTCGGATTCAACATTTTAAAATTTTTTTCGCATATCGTATTGTTGAGTTTCGGCAGTCTTTTTCATAATAGGTCATCGATTACTTAAGAAACATAACTGATATATATATCTTAAAAACTCGATTAAAATTATTTATTGTAAATTAGAACAATATCTATCGCTCCATTCCCCAAAAAATATGTATTAATATATAATACATTATATTTAATATAGTAAGGCTTCGCCCCTTTTCACTTATAATTAGACCATTTTGAAAAACATCATAAATATTATCAACCTAGTCTAAAAATCAATTTTCTTTGAAAAGTTTTTATTAACAGTTTAACTTTTGTTTAAGAAAAGTTTTCTTAGTATTATCATTTTATTAAAATATGATCATTGTTGGTGATATCTTATTCTTTTTTGAGAAATATTAATAAAATTATAATTGTTTACCAAGAACAACTCTTTAACCATTTCTCACTATTACAAATAATTTAATTGAATTTATTTTTTTGGAGGGTAGTAAGGATAAATATTGATCCAATTTATTAAAAATTAATTAATCATAAAAATATTTTAACATCCCAATTAAATAATCAGGAATCTAATGAAATGTAATAATCAAAACAAATATTATAGATTAATAGTGTAATGATTTGCCCAAAGAATGAAAGAAAGGAAAATGCAAATGTTAGTAGATACAATTTTTAGACCAGAGATGTTTAACTAACACAACTTAGCATGAGAAAATAATAATTAAAAAATATCTTTCAAGAAGGACAGAATATCTTCCTCATAATTTCTATTGAATATATAAAGAAAAACAAAGTTATTGTTTTAATTGTTTGTTTTTCTCTTCAGTTAGTCTGCATGTGATGGAAACTCATACATGGTATATGGTATATATTTCCTGCCACACCAGTTCTTCCATGTATTCCTTACAACTAAATCAAGTTTAATTGTTGAATGAAATTTTATGAAATTCATACTGCCAACGTTTAGATAATTATTTTTAAATAATTAATAAGGTTTATTTAAATTAAAATTAACAAGGTTTATTATTTTCTGTTGGTATAACAGACCTTGTAGATCTTTCGCCGCCTTAACAAACCAACTCCATCTCTGTCAATCTTCGGTTATTTCTTTGCAGTTATCTGTAATCAGCTCTATTGTATCTTGGTTGATTCTATCTATCCATCTGTTTTTTGCATTTTATTGAGGCATTCATTGTCATGTAGAGGCTTTCAGATGAATCGTGCCTTCATATCATGACGTAATGACAGACTAGTTTTTGTAAGCAGCTCTTTATTGGTCATTCTTTTCCATGTATGAGTATTCTGATCCCAGTCGCACCGGTTATCGTGCGGAGGATTTTTCTTTCATACCTCAATTTTTTTTTTAGGATCTGGTTAGTGTTCAGGTCTCACATTCATATATTATAACTATATCTCAGAACATTCTACACTCCTCATTCGATATTTTTCTGGGTTTCAATATCTTCGAAAGGGAGAAGAAAGCTCTGTTTGCGCTTCTTATATGCTGGCATCTTTTCGATTGTTGGTCATTTATTTTTGATGTTATTGTATAAGATACTCAATTTAAAAATACTCCATAAAATTCATTTATTCAGCATCATTATTCTATTATTCGTTTTTGAAATGTAGGCATGTCGAGGAAAATACGGTTGCACACGATTCAGCGACATTATTGGAAGGAATTTGACTAAATGGATAACTATTGATTTTATTTCTTCATAACTTTATTTTTTTCTTGACTTTGTTTCCAAATTTAAAGCAAATCGAACGAGAAGATCGATCGAAAATTCCATCAAAATCATAACTATTTAACAACAGACAGGACCCAAATTTGTTTGGTAACATAAGTATTTCATCTGTCTTAATTACTGAATTTGCTAACAGCAAAGCTTTTTTTTTTATAATAAGCAAATCTGCACACTTCTGGGTTTGAGTTAAGTTAGGAGCTCTCTTGGTCAACGCCTTAAAACTCTTCAGGGTGGGATATACGGGTTCGTATTGGAATTAAGTGTTAGATTCATTCATGTTGTAAGTCATTCCGTGATGAAAGTTTTTATAGTATAGGTTTCAGTGCCTAAAACTCTTTAGATGTCCAAGTCCCTGTGTAATAAGTCATTTTTTATATGGAGAGGTGCGTTTGTAATTTTTTGCTAAATCTTTAATTGAAAAATTTGAATTTTGTGCATATTAGACTTTTTTTCGCAGTGCCCCATTGCTCTTGTTCATACCCCTAAGTCCACAATGACTTAAACGTAATAAAGGAGTGATATTTTTCAATTTTAAAGACTCAGAAAGACCTTATAAAGTATTTGAGACACAGCACAAGGACGATCAAACAGCAAATAGAAGACAAAAAGCCATCAATGAAACTGAGAATCAGAAAAAATCTAAGACATAATTTTTTTTTTCCCTCCTGTATAAATACAAAGCTTCTCTACTTCCGGCAATGATACATCAAATTAAATAATAAATCACAAAAAACAAATAATAAAAATTAAAATATACATATGCAACAATATCATCTTATATAAAACTTTTATATGGTATGATTTATTAGAAAATCGATACATTAACACTGAAATCCACATGATAGAGAAAATCCTAACACATAGTTCTATTAATTCGATAAACTCTTAATAATATAATATTTACAAATAGTAATCAGTTAGAAGTTACTCAATCGTATGGAATTACTAAAATAACTTATCAACTAAACTGTCACATTAATAAACCAGCCCACTCCATTTTAAATTTTATATTTTTAACCAATGGTATTTTCTTTTCGTGTAATACATGTAATATTACCAATTAAAATTTACTTGTTGTATTTTTTAACTAGTGCAGTTCTAAATTTCAATAAGTATATATTTTCATGTATGGAAAAAAAGATAAACTGGTTTAGGAATGTAAATCATTAATTAAAGATATAATAATTCATTTAACTGACCTAAGTTTGATGTTTGCATTGGTGAAGATTGTTCGCGATTGAGTCAAGTCTTTCGGCTCCTTAGTATCTCCTTCCATTCTCAAATCGCATTTCCTCCTGAAAGAAAAGATAACGATTAATGATTATCATCGAAATTAGCCTTAAGTATATTTAATTTATACGAAACATTCATAAAATATTATATATTATACAGTTTAATGTTATTAAAAAATATTGGAAAATTCTACACGGAAAAAAGAAGCTGCATGCTGTGCGATGAAATACAAGGTAAATGCTTGCTCCAAGAGCATAATTGATGTGGATTGAACATTTATAATACAATAAGGAAGAAAAAGATGAATTAAAATATACATATTTATAAAATTCGCGAATAACTAAAGAAGTTCCTAGAAATCCGTTTCTAGAAAAGCCTCGTAAATCCGTAGTATTTGTTTTAGAGCTTAGAATTCTACTTAATGTTTTTTTTTTTTTTTAATTCAACGAAATTCATAGTTAATAACAGGATGAGGTATATATATGTTCTTTTTATTTATTTATTTTTAGGTTATTTTATTCTTATTTATTATATATTTATTATTTTTCTGTATAATTTATTTTATTTATTGTACAGAGTGTGAATGTGATCTCTGAACACTATTATAAATGTCCTTTGAGACAGATTGTAATATTTTTTAATAATTCAGTTTAAAAAAAAATAACAGGATGATATATTTCTTTTACTTCTTTTCATAAGAAGTTTGAATTCAGTGACATTTTTTTATTCAATGACATTTTTAAAAACATATGAATTCTAATGCTCTAAAAAAAAAAAAAAAAAAAAATGTAGTTAAAATAAATAAAATTATACTGTTAGAACGTGGATCACACATTCCGACATTGTGGTTTCAAACGTATTGAATTTGTAACTATAATATTATTTATAATAATAATTAAAATCATTTTAAGGGTTGGATAAAAAATTGTTGAAAAAGAACAAAGATTACTTTTTTATTTTTATTTTCGAAATATTTATTATTCAATGTTATTTCGTCGCTTTATTGCAAAAAGTCACTAAGTGCATTTTTGATATAGGTTAACTTTCAAATATGTTTTTGTTAATTTCGACGGTATTTCTTGATACAAAAACACCGTAAGTGTATGTAAATGACGAAAAACCCCATATGTAGTTACACTCAGGGGTGCCATTCCCCTTTCCCCCACTGAGATCAATGGCGCAAAAACCTATCCCCTTCTTCTCTTCCTATGATATTTCATTAGTCATTATTTCTTCTAAGATATTTCTTAAAAACAAATCAAGCTAAGATAGAATTAAAAAAATCATAGATCGTATACAATTATACCTGCTGCAGTCCGTTCCATATTTTCCGTTTTTCTCTTGGTCCGAAAATTCATAACCCCGTCGAACTTTATAGCCACCCTCAAAAATTTAAAAAAAAACTGTCAAAATATACCCCCTTTAAACATTTTGATGGCGCAATTGCGCCATGAAACCCCCTTCTGTTCACCCCTGTGTACACTAATTGTATGAGTATAACATTCTGATTTCACAAAGGGAAAATTGATCTAAGTTCTTAATTTTTTGAGGTTACGAAATGTCACTTACTGATTTTTTGTAATAAACTGACGATTTTCATTACCATTTTCTGATTTAAATAGGGTAAATATTACATTTTTTATGATAAACAATACAAATTTAAAGAAATACAACAAAATCTAAAGATTTAGTGCTGTGACTGTATTTTCATTCGATAGAAGAATGTTATCATGGATTGACCGCGGTACTTGGACTAAAAGAGCAGATGCCTAAATCCACTTTTCTTGAAGACAAATACAAGCACCTACCCCCTCACTGAGGAGGTAACGAGCCCTTTGAGGGAACATTTGAAGGGTGCGGTGTTTACTTTGTTTTTGAAGGGCCAGACACATAAAGAGGATCGGTTGACCCTGTTATCAATTCATTGGTTGCCTTTTGAAATATTCACACACCTCGGACTTTGCGAATAGGGAATGAGGAGGGAGTTTGCTAATTTCCTGCCTCTCTTCCTGCCTCCCCCTCCATCCGAGGTATTTTCTCCAATTTGCTCTCTGCAGGCCCATTCAGCCCTTCCTGAATATTTGAAGGCCCTTCTTTCTACTCCACTTCCACTTAGCCCCGCCATATTAGCTTAGGGCTCCTCTTAATTACATACCCTTTTACAAAGTGGTCTCTTTCATTTTCCTATTTCTTCTTCATATTGAAATAATCATGACTTCATTATATAAAAAAAAGTTGGTTATTAACTGTAAAACTGAAAAGGCATGATATATAATGAAAACATACTGGCATAACACAATTTATGTATTATATGAGCCTTTAAGTTGACAGAATGACTAACTCCAATGTGAACATTTTTGAGTTAAGTCATTTTAGTAATATTTCTAGTTAGAAAATTAATAATATCTGTACAGACTGCGAGCAATTTGATTCTAGAGTTGGTTATTGCAGTGTTGAAATATAGAACTGTGAATAAAGACGTAAATTTTCCTACTAGAAATATCTCTAAAATTAATAATAAAAAATGTTTAAATTGGCGTTAATCATTCTGTCAACTGAAAGATTCATATACATTATACATTATAGCTATATATTATGATTTAAACTTGATATTTATTTAATAATATATAAATTACCCAATCTACCAATAACCTACGAATAGTACTCATGTTCATGCACAATATACAATAATACATAGTAACAGTAATAATTTAAATTTTTCTGAAAGTTATATAAAAAATAAAAATAAAATATTAACTTTCGCGATTTAACAATAATAAAGCTTAAATAAAGTGCTGTAGCTCTTACATAAATTATATATATATATATATATATATATATATATATATATATATATATATATATATATACACAGTTGAATTAAATCGACAAATATTAGAAACATTTACCGGCTTTCTTACCAACAGGTCTCAGGAGTCGAGATAAAAAAATTATAATTGTGGGTTGATGGTTGACTGTAGTGAATAATTAAAGAGGAGGATGGTTGGAGTGATCAGTCAAAATAAAAAATAGTAAAAGTAAATATAATTATTTATTTTCATTATGACTGATCACCCCAACTAGTGTTGCCCAAAATCGGTCTTGGTCTTGCACTTTGCAGGTGCCAAGGCCACCTAACTTTTGCAAGACCAAAACAAGGAATGGTAAAAAAAAAAGATTTTTTCAATGAAAATTAAGGCAAAATAGTTACTAATACTTGATAATCTTAGTTAGTATATGTAAATAATTGGTATAATCAATATACTTTTGCATTTAACTCCTCTAATTTTTCATTCGAGCTTCTATCTAAAAAATGACAGTAATATATAGCATAGTAATAAGCTAATAAGTAACTGCAAGACTCTTGGGCAAGACCAAGACAATGACGAAGACTGACTTTGCAAGACCAAGCCTCGTCAAGGTCTCGCATTTGGGAAACACTAACCGGAACCATCCTTCTCTTTAAAAATAAATTATGCAATATAAATAATTTTTTTTGTCTTTCCTTGGTATGGATTTATAGGTTAGTATATACCAACTGATTTTTGTTTTGTTTTTTCTACATGATAAGAAAAGAATATTACTTATGGTATTAAATGAGTTATAATGTATCATAAACTACAAAAAGCAGAAGAAAATAGGCTAAGTATTGTCTTATTATAAAAAAGCAAGATTATTTTTATTGAAACTCTCGAATACGATGGTTAATGCAAAAAAAAAAACCCGGATATTTTGGTAATTGATTTTCCTGCAGAATATTATTGTCGGCGTTCATTCTCATTTATAATCCCCCTCACACATTTTTTTACGTTCTTGCAACAACAATAAATTTTATTTCATTAAGAAAACTGCATAAATTCACACGAAAATGATTACATATTTAGTGTCCTATAGGCTATCCGAAACGACCCTACCTCCTTAAAAATAAATTTAAGTTATCGTTTATTTCTAGCTTATAATGGATATGAGTTAGAAAAGCAGTAATTATTAGTAGTGGCTTAACTGCGGTTGTATTTCAGTTGAATTAGGAGAAAATTTTAGGAGTTATGCTTTATGAATGCTTTAGTTAACGACCGTGAAAAAGTCTTCCAATAAAATTAAGTAGTAAAATACCTATATCTTTCTAACATTTTTTTATCTATAATTTATAATATATTTCATCCAAAACAATTCCTGACAACCCTCCGAGGCCTCTGAAAAGAAGATGGCCAAGGGACCTCCTAAATTAATTTATCTTTGAAGTGTTACATTGCTTATTCACAAGTACCTTTATGTTTTATATTCTCATAGCAGATTTACTGGTTGTGTATATTTTTGAAATGAAATGATTAATATTTTTACAGTTGTAAATTTCAATAAAATAATAAATAAAAAAATAATTTATTTACAACTCGGCAAACACAGAGTGTCAACATTAAATCTCATACTAGACTGAAACGACAAGAAACCGCTCGACGTTTCCGACTACTTCAGCACATACTAGACACACACTCTAACCTTTCAATTAATTACAGAAGACTCATATACATGACTAAAATAAGGCCCATTAGGACTTTGGACGGAGTTGAGCTTTGGGGCTCCACTAAACCATCGCATTCCTCTCGTATCCAATCCTTACAATCAGAAATACTTAATAAAATCCTCAATGCTCCCTACATTGTTACAAATAAAACCATCCATAATGACCTTAATGTTTCTTTTGTTTCAGATCTGGCCCAATCCAGATACTTATCCTTCCATAATAAACTTCAAAATCATCCCAACCCTCTCGTTTCTAACCTTGCTTCCTCTTCAATTCCTGGTAACGCTTCGAGGCGTCTGAAAAGAAGATGGCCCCGTGATCTCCTAATGTAGACATATCATTTGAGTGCTACAATTGGGTAGTTACTCAGCAAGTGTTTTCATGTCATTATATCCATATGTTCGAATTTACTAGATGTATTTATTTAATACAGTTGTAAATATCATTAAGAAATAATAAAAAAAAAGAAAAAACATTAAATCAGATTACATACATACAGTGTGTGGTGTACATTCCTAACAATTCATATACTTGTAGAAAAG